TTTTTCAATAAAATATTTAACGATTTCCAAATCTGGATGAAAATACAAAAAATTTTAAAATATTATTCAAGTCAAGGAAATTATGAAATTTTGTCTGGAAATCAGAGCGAAGTGATGGAATTATAGGATGAGAAATTTGTGACAATCCTGATGTAGGACGGTCAAACTGGTTGCTAAAACGTTAAAACTTGTTGCAGCATTTTCATTATCGTTTAAGCGTTTTACATAATTATTTTTATGATACGACAAAATTATTTTCAAATTTATATTTAGCCAAAATTTTAAATAATTTTTAAATAAATTTTCGGGAAAACCGTGTAGAAATTTTTTTCGTGTAGAAATTAAATATTACAAGTAATGAAGCGATATTGCTCATTTGCATTGACGACACAACTCAAAAAACAAAGTTTTCTAGAAAATAAGTTGGGATATTGTGGATCATTAAAATTTTGCAATAATTTTGAAACATAATTTCGATGTAATAATTATTAATTATATATAATTATATATAATTATAGAAGAATAAAAGCATGTAGTATATTTTTCTTTTTTTCTTTAAGTTATTTTTTTACAACTTAAAAATAACAATTTTTGAATAATGTTGTTACAGCAAATGAACAATATATCGATAGAAATAAAAGACGATGAGAGAGGAAACGAAGAAGCAATATGCTTCGAACGCGGTGTTTCAAAGTATATTATTTTACAGCATTTTCGTTAGATCAAATAGGAGAGAGAGATAACATTGAACAGATAAGACCTCGTTGCGATACTCTACTGCGAATCCAAATCTACTTCAACGTGGCGTGAAATTACAACGTACGAAATTAGGTGTTGTAAACCTGATCCAATGTTACGTCTGGAAATTGAAGTTATTTATGTTTACGCGTTTTCAATTACAGTCGACTTAATAATCGAGCGATCGGGGTGCATCAAGATAAACCGAACAATACATTATTAACGATAACGCACAGAAAATGAGCTTTAAATCGATAATTGATATTCACGTGAGTAAAACGTGGCGCCGCGCGCTTGGAATATGTAAATGAATCCAAGGGTGAAAATCTCGTGGGCGTTTAGCGCGTAATTAATTGGCAAAAACAAACGCGCGCGAGTTTCACTAGAAAATGTCATGTACACTCGAGTATTGCGTTACGCGGCGCGCAGCAGCGGCCACCTCGTAATCACCTTGCGAGCATAAGACTGTCCACTCGTGTAATCGACGCTTAACTCATTTCCCGTTCCGTCTCGATTTCGCGGAACGCAACGTACGTGCGTGCCTCGTTCTCGCATCGAGACGCCTTAAGCCTTAAAGGAATCCGCGACTTCGCCTTTTCCTTAACTCTCGTCTCGCCTACAATGCACGCTCGACGATTGCGCGAACGTTTTAAATGCACACCAACTCGCGTACATACACGTGCCGCGGTGTTATGACACAAGTGTGAATCGTTCGCTGGTTTATTTTGTAATACGTTGCGGGAAAAACGATGTTTTGCAACTTTTTTTTTATCGCGCGTAGGATTTGCCTGACCATAATTGCGGATGAATTGGTTAGCGCATTGTTTTCTACACATAAAAGTATAATAAAAAATATTGACAGGATTGACCAGGTGTTTTCGTGTCTACATAAAATAGTACAGACGTCACATCTACTTTTTTTTGCATGCGCAGCATAACGTAACAGCACGTGCATCGCCATGGCAACGATTACTTACTGACCTTAAGTGTCGTCGGTGTATAATATTATGGAAATACGCTCGTCCTCAGAATTGTCTTTAAGAGAGTGAAACCGCCGTATTACATCTCTCGCGCGTGCTATCCGGACATTCTATTTTTATGACAGGACCCAAGGCCGATGGCCTAATCCAGACGTGTGAATGCATGTCAGGGTCTCGTCATTGCGAACTCAATTATTCTTGAGAGTCTTTTTATTTTTATGAAATAAATAAAAGTATTAGTATAATCAAGGATGTCATAAATTCCTCATCCTAAAATTCCATTTTCCCTGATTTCCAGACAAAATTTCATAATTTTTCCTCACGCTTGCAATAGTATTTTGACATTTTTTTCTACTTCCTCGTTTGGAAACCGTCAAATATTTTGTCGAGAGAGCAATTTAATATAGCAATGTAAATTATTATTAATATTACTGACACTGCTTGCATTTAATTGTTAAGTTTGTAGTATTCCAAAACTGTATAGGATGCGTGTGATGCACATACGCATATTGGACTTCTTTAAAGGTAAACATTTTTATTTTCTAGAAAATTTGGCAGACTTTTTCTTGATTTCCTTAACTGTTTTCAATTTCCCTGACTTTTTCTTGATTTCTCTGATAATAAACTATATCAAAAAAAATAATCTAATTGTAAAGTGAAATTTCCGGTAACCTCATATTCTAAGCAGAAACTTTTACAGAAAGAGTATTCCTCTTCCAATAGACTGGATTATTCATCAAAAATGTATTGGAGATATTCTAACAGTTTTCCTCTTGTATGAAAAGGAATATATTTACTGAAAGCGGAATGCCCTCTTACGAGTAAATTATATTAGGAACAGCAAGATTTTTACTGCAGATGCAAAATAAAAGTATTCTAACTGTAAGAATATTGTGCTTAGCATATTTTCCTCTTGATTTCAGAAGATTCCTCTTGAGGCCGTATATAAGAATAAAATCCTCTAAGATTTAGCGGTTTCTGCTAATATTAAAATTATTTTTTTTGGGTGCAAAGTAAAAAAATATTATCTCTATTATTAATAGAATTTGCAAAAATAATCCTCTCTTTGTGTTCAAAATTGCATTGAATTCTGAGAAATCCCGTAATCATCTAAAATATGTTAATTAATCAATCGAAGCCGTCTGTTCGTGAATGAAAATCGAGAAATTCGAAATAGTTGCAGCTCGATGCAACTATGTAGCAGCGCAAATCAAAGTGCATGCAGCACTTGAAACAGGTACGTCGCGTCGG